GATCAAATAAATGCAGGCTTGGTGAGCAGAAGAGACTTAAAAAAAAACATAAAAAATCTTAGTTCAAAAACTTTTGACTGGTAGTGTATATGTATTTAAAATATAATATATTTAATACACCGATTTAATATTAAAGTTATGAAAAAGATGTTTGAATCAATGATTCAACGACTCGCTCATAAACCTACTGGATGAATCAGCGTTTTTGAACGATTCTCTTGAATAAATGAATAAGTCATAAATTTAAGTCCCTTTTCGCCACTTAGTGGCAAAACAATGCAATCGACGCAAACGTTATGTGGCAGTTACTTTCAAACGCGGATTTGCTCTATTTTTGTCCTGCTACCATAGACATCAATGTTTGTATCTGAATGTATCTGAATTAATACTGTGTAGTTGAAAAGACTGTTTGTGAAGCTGTTTCTTAACCAAACATGGTAACTGCTCTGTGTCAGTGGCAGTGCGAACGGATCGGTAAGACTTTGTCAAAGGTTTAATAGACACCGGAGAATCGTTGTCATTTAGAAATGAGATCGTGTGGTTGTCTGAATCGAGATCGCGATCTTTTAACGATTAATCGTGCAGCTCTAGTGCGTACACGTGTTGTGATTTAAAGGAGACATATTATGCTTCTTTTTACAATATGTAATATAAGTCTCTGGTGTCCCCAGAATGTGTCTGTGAATTTTCAGCTCAAAATACTCCACAGATAATTTATTATATCATTTTGAAAATGCCTATTTTGAGTGGAAGCAGAAACACGCTGTTTTTCGTGCCTGTCTCTTTAAATGCAAATGAGCTGCTGCTCCCCGCCCCCTTTTCCAGAATAGACCTGCCATTACAGCAGGTACCTGACAAAAAACATCTGTTTTGGTTCTGATTGTTTATCACGCTGAAATAATGCGTTTTAAACTATATTAGTTTAAACTTCTGATATACGGTTTTCTGAGCGTACGCATCCGAAGCACACGGACAGAAAGTGGCTGTCACAGCATGTGAGTACTGAACTGAAGTGAGTGAAGTTCACATTCTCACACAAGTTTACGTCGGTTATATCTGTGAAGGTATACAGCTGGGAAATAAATCGCATGTTTATTTTAGATCTGTGTGGCAGCAGCAATATACAGTAAATAAATGAATAAATCCACTGCTCTCTTGTCTCCTCTGAGGCTGGGACTCTAAATAGTGTTCTGTGCTTTTCAGTGCAGCCAAAGCAGTGTTACTGTGAGTTCACACCGCCGCCGTCGAGAGCGTCAAAGTGGCCGAAAGTCATTCATTTTCAATGTGGGCCGGCGTCGAGCAGCGGCGCGGCGCGACTTGGACGTTGAGGGCGTCGAGGAGAGTTGAAATTAGGTCAACTTTATGGTAATGAGCTATGACGCAGTTCGGCGGCATCTGGCGGCAACCAATCGGAATGTAGAAGTCCACCGCTTGAGAGGATTCCAGAGAACGCAGTCCTGTAAACTTTGGTTCCGACCACATTAGTTCCCAAGCAAACTGGAGGAGAGGTTGATTATTGCTGTGGCAGGTTTCCCAATAATCTATGACCTGTTTGCATACAGGGACATAAATAAAATAAAATAAAATTATGCGTGGACCATGGTGTCTGAGATTGTTGGTGTTCCTGGTGAGTTGCTGATGTGCATTAACGTTATAGTAATAATAATCTAATGACATAATAAATAATAGTATAATAGTCCCAGTTCACTTTTAAACCTTTAAATACATTTTCCTGATTATACTTGCATTAAGTAATGTTTATACCTGATTATACTTACTTAACATTTTCAATGCAGGACTTTTACTTGTATCAGAGTATTTTTACAGTGTGGTATTAGTGCTTTATACATTATGAGGTAAAGGATCTTAATACTTCGTCCACAACAATATTTACTGAGGTTAACTTATAACGTTACCCTCCTTGTGGTCAGTCTGCACAAGATCAACAACCGTGTTTGCTTTGCGTCCCCTTTAAATACAAGAAAAGCATTCGATCTACGTCAGAGCGTCCAAGAATCTTTCTACAGCGTTGTTGGCAGGGCGGCCAGAGCGATTTTTGACGCTCTCGACGGCAGCGGTGTGAACGCACAGTTAATTTCGTTGAGGAATAATTTGTCATAATTTGTCAACAACATATTTTCACCTATGATAACGAACTAAAACTCTTTTTGAATGACAAAAACTATGACTTAAATCTATTGACATTTTCGTCAACGAATAAGAACGAGACAAATGTTAGGGAGGGACGATTTGGGAAGAGATTAATTCAGAACGAATCTGCTGCGTGTTTGGGAGGTTAGATGCGTACATATGAGCTGGCTGGACATAAGCTAACATACACTTGCTGCACATCGCATAAAACGTTCAAAAATATCAATATGGGGGAGTAAGAGAAGAGCAGATGTGTATAAATCTGTCAACGCAAGAGAAAACTAAATTCAGTCAGTGCGTCACAGAAGTGCGTCTCACAGCGCGCGAGTACTCTTTCGCGTCGCATGAATGGAGAAGTGCACACAAAATGATGTCGAATTGTCCGTTTTGACGAGTATTCGTGTAAATGCAGTTGATTGCGTCTTAAGTGAACGTAAACAGTAGGGAGAACGTGTATCAGTACATTGCATCCATTGCAGCTGTGCATTCGGTTTTAAAGGGACAGCAGCCTAATTTAGTTCCTATGGTCCGAGTCATTGATGTTAATCAAGCAACAACAGAAAGACAGAAGATCATGCACTGCTCTTGACTGAAAAACTTTAGTAGCCCTAAAGATTCATCTTAATTTCTTTATAGAAATAAATGTCTGCTTGAAAGAATGAAGAACCAGTAAACCAGTTGCTATAAAGAATGCATAATTAGCCTATATAACCATTGGTATTTCATGAAAACGAAGACCATGTTCTTGTTCTTTATGAGAAGTGGGTTTATTTAATTTGAACATAAAGGCATGTTGTGTCACCGCAGTTAAATCGGTGTGTATCATGATACAACCTTAATATCAAACCTATATAAGGAGTTTGGAAATTTTTGAGAAATGCTTAATAAATGCACTGCAACTAAACCCATTCGATTTTAACCTACTAAATTTACTGTAGATTTAGTCGACTAAAACTATAAACAATTCAGATGACTAAAATATGACAAAACTAAATGGCATTTTAGTCAAAAGACTATGACTAAAACTAAATCAAAATTTGCTGTAAAAATTAACACTGAGCCAAAGGCAGAACAGTTAGCATGTTTTGCTCAAACTTTCTCGCCATGAAAACCTGCAAAACATAACTTACTTTCTCCATAGTAAGAAAAATGCTTACTAAAACAAAGTTACTGGGTTAATATTTTTCTCGTTTCCTTGGTTGGTAGATGCACCGGGGACCTGATCATAGCACTTAAAACCTGGAAAAGTCAGATTTTCATGATGTGTCACCTTTAAGGCAGACATTTTTCATGAGAAATTATTTTGTGTGTACAAATGCACTGTACACAATTACTGGTGAATGAGACCCATTGTTCTAAAGGTTCTTACAAAACCCTCCCCAGTGGTGATGGTAGCAAGAAAGCAGATGAGTAGATGAGATCAAAGTAGATGAGGAAGAGACCTTGGGAGGAACCTGGCACACATTTGTACAGCGCATACACAATTTAAGGCAGACATTTTTCATGAGAAATTATTTTGTGTGTACAAATACACTGTACACAATTACTGGTGAATGAGACCCATTGTTCTAAAGGTTCTTACAAAACCCTCCCCAGTGGTGATGGTAGCAAGAAAGCAGATGAGTAGATGAGATCAAAGTAGATGAGGAAGAGACCTTGGGAGGAACCTGGCACACATTTGTACAGCGCATACACAAATGCACAAATGTTACTTTTAACACATGCAATCCTGCCACATACTGTTAAAGATAATTTTGACAATAAAATTCTTAACAGAATTACATTTATATTTAAATTTTGCAGTTATGTTTTGCAGGTTTTTTTTGAATCAGTGAATCATTTCATCACTGAACCCCCCCCCCCCACCTCTGCTAAAATTATAAATGAGCTGTTGTTAGTACAATTCTCTGTATCATTGCCAATAAAGCATTAACTCTACATTAACATCTATTAACTCTAAGAATAAATAACACTCTTTAGCATTTTGTGATACCGGCACTTGTACTGACAACTTGATGATACCTTTTAGCTTTTTTGTTGGCCATTATTTTATCAGTTTACATAAATGTCAGTTCTACTGCAGAAATAGTCTTGTTTTGCTTAAAGGAGTCATAAACTGAGCTATCAAAATTCCCTTGATCTGTTGACCATATAAGAGATCATTGTACTATAAAAAGATCCTGTAAGTTTCAGAACTCAAAACTTTCTCATTAGTCCAAAAACAGCTTATATTGAAGAAAATCTGCCAAATCGACAGGTTGCGGAATGTACCACTTTATGACATAATAGTGTTGCTAAACCCCACCTCTGCATAAAATCAACGCCTGCTTTTACATGACTGCCTGTTTAGCTCTGCCAACTGATTCACGCGTGTAGTGTCAATAAGAGAGGCAAACTCAGGTCTATGCAGTAACCAAATGATAAAGATGCTCCAAAGACAAGATGCTGTGCAGTGCCAAGCTGTGAAAAAACACAATCTTTGCATAACCTTCCATCGGATTCCAACATTAGGAAAGAGTGGATGAAGTTTATTTTTAATGAAGATACAGACCGCGTCAGTAAGAACTTGAAAAAAGGCAGTTCATGACCTTTTACTGTTATTAGATCTTTGTAATGGGCCTGTTAGGGGAATGATCTCTTTGTTTTTTTTTTTCTCTCGTTTTTTTTTTTCTCTTAGCACGAGTCTAATCTCTGGTATAATTGCATAACTGTTTACTTAAACTGTCTGTCCACTGTATCTTTTAAAAAAAGAATCTACTCCATATCTAACCTTATCCATCTGTTTGTATTAGAATCTACAAATTTGTCCTCTTTTACGGTTTCCTAACTGTATTTTTTTTATGCCACAGGAGACACAACGCCTACAAGTACAAGTACAAGTACACGTAAGTGTTCTTAAAAAATATATATTATACTATTACTATTCAGTAGAGCTGATTCCTCTTGTCAGTAACGGTCACCCTTGGCTCCTTGATCTTTTTGATCTGAAATGTATGAAACTGGTGGATTATGAAATGTGATCATTCTAGTATTTCTGTAAATGCAAGTTCATATATTTGATGGAGTGTGACAGCTCAGAGATTCAGAGTATTCTATAATAGGCTGGTTTCTGAGCATTCTGCAGGTCATGTCATATTTCTAGTTAGATATGTAGTTAGTTTTAAATGAATATTTACTTCTGGGTTATGGTTAATTTTGTTGCAAGTGTTACAAAGGGATTTCACATTTTACAAAGTGTTTGTCTTAATCCATTAAACAATTTATTTATTTATTTTGTTTTATTTATTTTTAGCAGCTCCATGGGTTGTTGCACTGATTGTGCTTGTTTTGATTGGTCTGGGTAAGTCAGTCTGCATATTTCACCTGATAATCTACATGTCCTATACCTTCTTATTCAATACAGTTGTAACGTCTCTTTCTTTTATTTTTAGATTAGCCACAAATGAGGGTTCATCACTAACATCAAATAAAGCAATTTATGAACTTCAGCAAACAGTCTCTTTCTTTGTTGTTGTTGTTGTGTTTTATTCCCCAAATGCTAAATATGTTCAAGTGAAAATTAATTATAATATATACAGAATAAAGAAACAAATAAACAAAATCAAGACCTTGTCCTTGATTTTACACCAAATAAATAGTCTTTTAGTTCTTATCTGAGAAATTACGATCTATTCCGTGGCAAAAAGGAATTATTCTTTCCGAAGAAAAACATTTGAGTGCGTTGCAATGCAATTTTGGCCTGGTGTGATAATCAGGTAAGACTTATTTTTCATAATATAAAGTCGTTATCAAAAAGGTCAAATTAAAACATTCTCTGGTTATTTGCATTTTGTTCATTATAAAAAATGAGTTGACTGATTATATTTTTGGAAAAAAATATTTTATAACTGTTGTTTTTCCCCCCTGGAACCCAAACTCATTTTTAAAGCATAACACTGCTACAACTTAACAAAAGGTTTGGTGACTGTGTAACAGAGTGAAATTTCTGTCATAGTTTTTCCATATACAGTGGGGCAAAAAAGTATTTAGTCAGCCACCAATTGTGCAAGTTCTCTCACTTAAAAAGATGAGAGAGGCCTGTAATTTTCATCATAGGTATACCTCAACTATGAGAGACAAAATGAGGGGAAAAAATCCAGAAAATCACATTGTAGGATTTTTAAAGAATTAATTGGTAAATTCCTCGGTAAAATAAGTATTTGGTCACCTACAAACAAGCAAGATTTCTGGCTCTCACAGACCTGTAACTTCTTCTTTAAGAGGCTCCTCTGTCCTCCACTCGTTACCTGTATTAATGGCATCTGTTTGAACTCGTTATCAGTATAAAAGACACCTGTCCACAACCTCAAACAGTCACACTCCAAACTCCACCATGGCCAAGACCAAAGAGCTGTCAAAGGACACCAGAAACAAAATTGTAGACCTGCACCAGGCTGGGAAGACTGAATCTGCAATAGGTAAGCAGCTTGGTGTGAAGAAATGGATTGTATATCAGGTGAGTAGTTGCCTGAAGAAGTAGTTCAGTTTGGGTAGAGGGGAACGCATGTTTCTTTGTGCTACCTTGAACTGCTGGTTGACAAAGTCCTTGTTGAGAAACCTTTGGTTTTAAGCTCGATATGTGAGTATATTTGAATATTGTCTAACTTCTTTATTTAGAATGTGGGAAGAACGTTTATGTTTGTTTTTGGTATTGGTATTTTCTATTTTTCAGAAGGACTGTTTTTCTTTTCATATCATTTCACTTCCAAATCTGTGTTTGGATACATAACTGATTGTAACTGTTCATTCGAATACTGTTTGGAGTGGATATACCTTTGTGTTGAAATCCTTTGTGGAGGCTCATTCATATGCTAGTCGGAGTTGTCAACGCTAAAGCAGATCGACATATTTCAATGCACTCAATGTTTTTCGTCAGAAATAATTCATTTTTGCCACGGAATGGATCATAATTTCTCAGATAAGAACTAAAAGACGATTTCTTTGGGGTAAAATCAAGGACAAGGTCTTGAATTTGTTTATTTGTTTCTTTATTCTGTATATATTATAATTAATTTTCACTTGAACATATTTAGCATTTGGGGAAACGCAACAAAAAAGAAAGAAAGAAAGACTGTTTGCTGAAGTTCATAAATTGCTTTATTTGATCTTAATGATGAACCCTCATTTGTGGTTAATCTAAAAATAAAAGAAAGGGAAGTTACAAAAATGGTGCCCGAACAGGGACAATGACTAAGTTAGACTTTAACCTAGAGGGTGTATCACTAGATTATTTTAAAAAGGATCAAATAAAGGAACTAACAGCAAAAGTAAATTCAAAAATGTTAAATCTGAGAAATAAATCAAACCTAATCTGAAATGGATAGGGATGAGATCGCGCCAAATGAATGCATTAATTCAGATAAGAGATTCAGTGAATTCAATGGTTGACACTTTTAGCTGACTTTATAAGAAGAAGAAAAAGAAAAAATAGTAGTACAAGTGCTGTTTCCAGACCAGCCTGGCGATCCAGATGATTTCACTCCATTTCCACCTCCACCACCGGAAGAATTTGAGGAGGAGCAGGTGTATTCAAATGGAATGGCAACAATGCAACGATTAACCAACATTGAAGAACACCTTAGTGACATCGAACATAGGGTGAGCGATTGTGTGATTCAAGACACAATGACCAATATGATGCAAAAACTTGAGGATAAAATGATCTACCGAATTCAAAGAGAAACTGATCGAATTAAAATGCAAATGGACAGTAGGTTAACTGATTTAGGTCAGATCATGGTTGATTGTCTAAAAAAGGAGAGATAAACAACTAGATCAGAGGATTCAAGCTCTTTCACTTTCATCTACTCCCATGTCTGCAAAAACAGTCAGTCATCATAAAACTGCACAAACAGATATTAAACAAATTCAAGCTGCTCATTCTAGTCAACAGCGCATATCTCTGCCTACTATACCAGCACCATACAATCCGCCGGTTAAATTAGAGTTTCCCAGTTTCACCAACGCAAGTATTGACGATCCAGTTGTTTTTATTGAGAGAGTTGAGGAATATATTAATCTTCGACCTTTACCTGACAAAGAACTGCTGGCATCACTGGCTGTGGTAATGAAAGGGACCGCAAAAGACTGGTGGAGTGCAGAGAGAAAGAACATAGCTACAAGGAAAATCTTTAAGGATAAGTTCTTGTTTGCATTTTTAAATGAGGACTTTAAAGAAGTGGCTGCACAGAGACTCATAAATAGGAGACAACAAAGCAAAGAGAGTATTTGAGATTTTGCCTATCATTACAGAGCCCTTTGTTTGAGAAACAAGCCTGACATGACTGAAGAAGAGATCGTTCATGCAATTCTCAGAAACTGCAACCCAAGATTAGCCAGTTTGCTGAGGAGCTCTGCTAAAACGTTGGATGAATTAGTTCGTTTGGGCACACCAATTGAGAAGGATTGGATGGGAGCTTAAAATCACTGGAGTGTAGTTAACAGTGAAGAGCAAAACAGGAAATTGCCTGCGGTGATGTCAAAAAGAAATCAAGATAACCAACTAATGCTGTTAGACCACCATAACTGAAAAAAAGGGTATCAAAATCTTCAACTGCCTGTGACCATCAATCACACTAACTTTAATGCCATAATTGATACCGGGAGTACTTTTTCCATTGTCCAGCAAAAGATCTGGAAAAAACTGAGCAAAAAAGGAAGTGATCAGTTTTCTGCAAGTAATCAGAACTTTATATTAGCAAATGGACAATGCCAAAAAGCTATTGGTAAGGTGAGATGGATGTGTCAGGTCAAAGAAGAAAAGTTTGAAGTGGAATTTTTTGTGATGGAAGATAAGGATTTAGCGGTATCCGTAATTCTGGGTCTTGACTTTTTGCAGAAGTCTAAAAGGGTTTTGGATTTTAACACTTTGCACTTTCATCTTCCCGATGATGCACAAAAGAAATGCACATTCCCTTTTTTTTCACATGATGGACTGTCCACAAACCATTTTTACATGGCTATCCCAGATCCCATCAGTGAGGCAGACCATCACCTCATCGTCGAAGCTGCTATGCATGCTGAAGCAACACCAGAAATACAAGCACAGCTTAAAGACCTGATGTTGAAATGGCCAACGGTATGCACACAAAACATAGGCCGAACCAACGTTATATGACACCAGATCATCACAACTGATCAGCAGCCGGTAAGAAAAAAGCCATACAGATTCTCATTTAAAAAAAAAATGATTTTATTGAAGGGCAAGTGAAAGAATTGCTTGAAAAGAAAATCATCCAGCCTTCTACCTCTCCGTGGGCATCACCAGTAGTAGTGGTAGACAAGACGGATGGGAATATGAGATTATGTAGATTACAGAGGACCGAATGCAAAGACTCACCTGGATGCCTATCCTATGCTACAAATTACAGATATCATGGAATCAATGAAAGGAGCCAAGGTTTTCAGTACTTTAGACCTCAAATGTGGGTACTGGCAAATGGAGATGGAACAGTCCAGTGTTGAAAAAACAGCGAGATTGCCAATGAGCCTTTGAGACAATCAAACAAGATCTCATCAGTGCTCCGGTGTTAGTCTCACCTGATGTTAACCGTGCTTTTAAAGTCCAGACAGACGCCAGTGAGTATGGTTTGGGGGCAGTTTTAACTCAAGAAGATGGAGAAGAACGGCTGGAGGCAAATGCATCTCAGCTTTTGAGGGGAGCGGAGAGAGCATACTCTACATCAGAAAAAGAGTGTCTAGCAGTCGTATGGGCTATGGAAAAATTGCGACATTACCTGGAGAGCAAACCTTTTGAGGTGGTAACAGATCATGCTGCATTGTCTGGGCATTCCGACATCCAAAGCCATCCTCCAGGTTAGTAAGGTGGACAATACGGCTCCAGGGGTTTCATTTCATTGTGTGGTACCGTAAAGGACAGTGTAATGTGGTTCCTGATGCCCTGTCGAGACCATACCACACAGAAGTTTTCTCTTTTTAAATACAACACCAGAAAAATGTTCACCTGCTTACGCTCTAAACGGGTGGTGGCATATGCATCTCGGCTTTTGAGGGGAGCGGAGAGAGCATACTCTACATCAGAAAAAGAGTGTTTAGCAGTCGTATGGGCTATGGAAAAATTGCGACATTACCTGGAGAGCAAACCTTTTGAGGTGGTAACAGATCATGCTGCATTGTCTGGGCATTCCGACATCCAAAGCCATCCTCCAGGTTAGTAAGGTGGACAATACGGCTCCAGGGGTTTCATTTCATTGTGTGGTACCGTAAAGGACAGTGTAATGTGGTTCCTGATGCCCTGTCGAGACAATGCCACACAGAACCCAGTTTTCTCTTTTTAAATACAACACCAGAAAAATGTTCACCTGCTTGCACTCTACCTGTTGATCTTGAACAAATCAGCAAAGCTCAGAATGATGACCGAGAGATCCAGGATTTGATATCCAAAAACCAGCAGAGAAAAAGTGACGATGCAATGCGTGTTCACTATGTTTGCAAGAATGGAGTTGTTTTTAGGAGTGTCCCTGAAGGAAAGAAAGGACAAAAACTGCAGATAGTGATTCCTGCTGTTTTTAGAAAGACGTTTTTATCTTATGCTCATGACAATCCATTGAGTGGCCATTTAGGAAGTTTTAAGACCCTAATGCGACTGCTTGATTTTGTGTATTGGCCCAGCATAAGAACTGACGTCTGGCAGTACTGCAAAGTATGTACTGTATGCCAACAATACAAAGCACCCACAACTAAGACTGCAGGTATGCTGCAGAGTATACCAGTAGTGGAGCCCAGTTACATGATGGGGATCGACATAATGGGTCCTTTCCCTAGAAGTTCCAAGCAACACAAGTACCTGTTAGTAGTTGTGGACTATTTCTCAAAATGGGTGGAGTTTTTTCCGCTAAGAGCTGCAAAAGCTCCTACCATTGCTAGAATTCTCATTGAAGAAATCTTCACTCGTTGGGGAACAGCCACTTACCTTGTGTCAGACCGGGGAAAGCAGTTTACTTCAAATCTCATCACCACGATCTGCAAACAATGGAAAGTCATCCAAAAGTTAACTACGGCTTATCACCCTCAAACTAACTTAACAGAACGAATCAATAGAAATCTCAAAACTATGCTGGCTTCCTATGTACATGAGAACCACAGAAGTTGGCATCAGTGGATTCCTGAATTTCGTTTTGCCCTGAATTCAGCATGGCAAGAAAGCATGGGATACTCACCAGCAGAAATTGCTCTCGGAAGGAAATTGAAAGGACCATTTGAAAGAGCATTCCAACATCCACCCGAGTTACAGTACTTTGGAACGGCACTCTCAGCTAATCGACCTGGTTAAAACTAACGTGGAGAAAGCACAACAGCACCAAAGACGGTATTACAACCAGCGCAGAAGGAACCAAGAGTTCTGTGAAGGAGATGTGGTATGGGTGCGATCTCATCCATTATCCAGGGCCGATGATGCTTTCATGGCCAAATTGTCTCCTAGATGGAAAGGGCCTGCAAAGATAGTAAAAAAGTTAGGACCTGTGAACTATCATGTTTCTTTTATTTCTGATCCTACGGTATGTATGTAAATGTACATTGATACATTTCATGTGCAGAACTTGAAAATTTGCCATGGATGTGAGTGAAATTTCTGTCAGTTTTTCCATATACTTAGAGTAATGGAATTAAAAATTCTGGAATTAAAAATATAATCAGTCAGCTCATTTTTTATAATGAACAAAATGCAAAGAAACCGAGAATGTTTTAATTTGACCTTTTTGATAATGACTTTATATTCTGAAAAATAAGTCTTACGTGATTATCACACCAGGCCAAAATTGCATTGTTGAGAGAGAAAAAAAGATAAGTTAACATGTATAATAAACGTTGTTTTAAAAAAAAAAAGTTCTCGTCACTCCACAACAAATCGTTTAAACTTATATTTTGCATTACTGTTCTGAATACTGTTAAATTTAAAGTAAACTTAATGTATAATTTATTATTAACAACATTTATTATAATCTATTTAAATCATAACTGAATCTACTGGTGTGTGAGAAATGTGCTAAACATATACACTTGGGCTGATATTCCTCCCTCACTGAGCATAAATCCAATTGTGCACTTCGTCCAATCCCCCTGACAACTGTCACAGTATCAGTTTTTTGTTTTTATTTGTGAAATATTCAAGAGAATTTGTTTTGTTGTCCTTTTTATGTAGGATTCTGAAAGTTAATATAAGAATTTGATCTTTTTTTTTTTTATTACAATCAAGGTTAATCATTTGTAACACAATTTCTTTCTTTATTTAGTTTATTAGGTGTGGTTGGAGTGCTGTGTTACCAAAGGAATCGGTAAGTTACCTGCACTGTCTCAGTTGCTCCTTAAGTGATTTCTAGATTTCCACACATTTTCCATGGGAAATGGAGATTCCTTCGAGGTGAAGGTTTAGTATACCAGCTGTTTAATTATGCACATGCTGACTGTTGGATTGCAGCTCGAAGCATGAGTATTTTGAAAAGGTGATGACTCTTCCTTGGTGTAGAACTAGACTACCCATAATCCTGCAGAGAACGCCATCTTTCAAAGAAATCTCTGCTCCCATGAATCATTGCAAATGACACTGAGTCAGTATCCCAATTACCCCTCTCAAGCCGTGATCCTATTCACAGGGCTCCTGACTGTGAATACTGTATGTAGATGTTCCCTTTTCCAAAAATCTTATTTTTGCAGATATATCTGCATACATTTGTTTTACACCCATTTTTATTCTACTTTTTGCTTCAAATCAAGAGATTCATCTTGGTGGTTTCAGCAGAGAATGCTGAAAAAGTAGACCGCCACTTTTTTTTGAGCAGGTAGTTAAATATACAGGTGCATATCAATAAATTAGAATGTCGTGGAAAAGTTAATTTATTTCAGTAATTCAACTCAAATTGTGAAACTCGTGTATTAAATAAATTCAATGCACACAGACTGAAGTAGTTTAAGTCTTTGGTTCTTTTAATTGTGATGATTTTGGCTCACATTTAACAAAAACCCACCAATTCATCTCAACAAATTAGAATATGGTGACATGCCAATCAGCTAATCAACTCAAAACACCTGCAAAGGTTTCCTGAGCCTTCAAAATGGTCTCTCAGTTTGGTTCACTAGGCTACACAATCATGGGGAAGACTGCTGATCTGACAGTTGTCCAGAAGACAATCATTGACACTTCACAAGGAGGGTAAGCCACAAACATTCATTGCCAAAGAAGCTGGCTGTTCACAGAGTGCTGTATCCAAGCATGTTAACAGAAAGTTGAGTGGAAGGAAAAAGTGTGGAAGAAAAAGATGCACAACCAACCGAGAGAACCGCAGCCTTATGAGGATTGTCAAGCAAAATCGATTCAAGAATTTGAGTGAACTTCACAAGGAATGGACTGAGGCTGGGGTCAAGGCATCAAGAGCCACCACACACAGACGTGTCAAGGAATTTGGCTACAGTTGTCGTATTCCTCTTGTTAAGCCACTCCTGAACCACAGACAACGTCAGAGGCGTCTTACCTGGGCTAAGGAGAAGAACTGGACTGTTGCCCAGTGGTCCTTTGCCCAGGAGTGTGCATTGAATTTATTTAATACACGAGTTTCACAATTTGAGTTGAATTACTGAAATAAATGAAATAAAAAAACTTTTCCCACGACATTCTAATTTATTGAGATGCACCTGTATATGCAATGTATCAAACCACAAAATGCTTCATTGTGCATAAATTCTCAGGAAAGAAGTTCCCATGAAAAATTATTGTGGAAAATTCTTCAATTCTGCAACCATTAATGCTGATAGTCTACATGGGAGGCTGTGTGCTGCTGTTTTGTTTTTGCTTGTTTTGTGTGGAGGGATTTCTGTGTTTAGCTATGGGATGAGGTCTTATACGTGTCTGCTGGATTGAGGTTTAATATACCCAGTTATTTAGTCATGCACATGCTGACCATCACTGCGACTTTTGGATTGCAGTTTTACCTGCGCCTGCTGTTAAAAATTTACGTTAAAAATATAGTATAATACAGTATGTAGTATAATTATATAACATTTATATAATTTATTCTTTGTTTTTAAATAACAGCATGCATTATATTTTGTGGTGAATGACTATTTGCACCTCTAATTACAGGTGTTCATGAAGTTGCCATGGAGAAAGTCTGTGAAGCATCTTGCAAGTATATATCATTTAAATAAGCACTTCCCAGAATTGTCAAAGGCTGACTAATTTCTGGCAGCAAATTCCTCCATAATTAGACCCACTTTTGCTTTGAAAAGTCCAGCTTAATTTGAACAAACTCCTTTCTAGCAGTCGCTAACTTCACCCCATGCTGTGCTCTGAAAAAAATCTGTCTTCACATAAGTCACATGTCACTTTTATAAAGTGTTTGCTTGTCATTTTTAACTTAATTTTCAACACTGTTGATGCAGTGATCACTCTTCTGTTAATGATGTAGCTGAGAATGTCTGAAGATTCACACCAAAAGAAGTGCACCGACTGTCCCATACCTCACTGAATAGGTTGAGAGCTAAATTTAGCATGAATATTTATGTAGAAAGTCTGATTAAAATTGATTTAAAATGAAAGAGATTCATGTTTGAATTCGTAACTATTCCATAGTATTTGTGAAGTCAATAAGGCTTAAGGCGTAGTTTAAATTTTGCCTATTACTTTTCATTTGGATAAAACAGGTTGTATATATTAACCTTCCAGTAAATATTTTGCAGAATGTGGTTTGCAGTGCATATTTTAAATGAAAAGTTTTGTCTAATCCTGTTGAAGTACTTAAAGTGCCTTTTCATTCTCCTGGGGTTTTTGTTCAGGTTTGTCTTACACTGTGCGTAGAGCAGAATTTGTTTAGGTTCTAATTACATTAGAAATGCTTTGCTATTGATTACACACTTAGATCTAATGAAGAAAAAGAAAAGAGAAGTCAGTACTTTTCTTTCCTGTGATTGTAGACATTTTATTTGTAAAGGTTTGTTTTAAAATGCTGTAATTTATCTAGTTTGCTCTTGCCAAATTGCAGTCATGTAAAATTATCTGTGGTTTAGTTCAGCTAATATTTTCAACCATTTCTGTTCAATTTGTCAAGTAATTCAATTTTAACGGCAAAATATTTTCCCAAATAAGTGTGTTTTTTTTTGTGTTGAATTTGATTGCTTAACTGTTTTTTCAGCTTGCTATTTCAAATATATATCATACTGTTTTATTGTAGCAATTAGCTGTTGTTTGGAATAATGGTTTGGAACCACTACTTTGACTCTTGACGGTGCAAACGCTGAAATTCAACAAAGTTGATCTTCTATAAATCCACCTCTTGCAATTGTGTATTTCACTGAGATCTGTAGGTGCCTGGATGGTCTCAAAATAAAAGCTCCATGGTCAAAACATAACACAAATATTTTCCGTTTGATCATTTTAGTTTAGTTTTTAGATATTGCAGACTTGAGCATTGATTCAGTTTGACAAATGTCTAATGTCAAATTAGATTTCGCAAGACCAGTTGCTCCATCATCAGCAGATACATTTCATATTGCAAAATTCAACATGCATAGCTGCTTTCTGTATCACAAGGCTGCCAAAAAAGCGTTCAGTCAACATTGTCCTTAAAATCATTATTACAAGGAGCGATCAATTGAAATATTTAGTGGTAGTTTAATCATTCAACTAGAAAAAAGGATGTTCATAACATGATTACAATGCATTACTCTGATTGCAAATCTAGTGATGTGAACTGCTCATTTGAATCTGTAGAATATACAATGTATGTTTCACAGCAACGCCCAACAAAACACATCGTAAAATAAAAACATACTGAACATGAATCCTACTGGACATGGCATGTTGAAGGCATGTTTTGAATGGAATATTGCTCCAATGAGCTTAACAGATATACAATAGTCTCTTCAATTCACTTTGCATCCTGTTGTACAGCCAACAGCAAAATTCTGAAAAGCTATTTTCATTTAACAACAAATTTAAGTCTACTATAAATCATTCAATCTTTAGATTTTTTTTAATTTTGGGCATCTCATAAATTAATTCAAACAATTATCCTTTGAAAATACATGAATACTGGGTACTTCTGACACTTTTTTTACACTCTTAAAAAATGCTGGGTTGTTTTAACCCAACTTCGTGTCAAATATGGACTAACCCAGCTGTTGGGTTACATTTTTAAATGAAATTTTTAACCCAAAAGTTGGGTTAGTCCATATTTGACCCAAAGTTGGGTTGAAACAACCCAGCATTTTTTTTAGAGTGTAGTCTAATAACCAATAAATCCTAATTCAGCCTAATGACCACTTTTCATTTTCCATGCAGTGACTGGTCCATTTTAGGCACTTAAATTGTACATTTGGCATTATTAAATATTGGAAACTCTTAATGTACATCTACAAAAAACATATACAAATCTAGTACAATATGAGAAACAAACCACCAGATTTAAATGACAAGATAAATAACAGTAGCCCAAAAAATAACAGCACAAGATGTTCTAATGCAAAACATGTCAAACGTTATTGCATTCATAAGAAACATGCATGTGCACTGTATGTGTACTGAAATGTGTAGGTTCAATTCAATGCATTAGGAATCATAAACTAATGTTTTTTGCAGCAATTATTAATCTCTAGACCAACGTTAATTTACAAATATAAAATTCGTATTATATTCAATGTTAACCCATGTTCCTTCATATATATGTATATGTACAGTATATAACAATGTTCATTTATACAACTTCAATAATCATTAAAAATGCTGTAAAAGATTTGTTCATTGTTATTTCATGTTAGCTATTGCATTTATTTGTATAGAACCTTATTGTAAAGCTTTATCGAAGTTAATCAAATAATTAAAAATGTAATAAGGGAGAGATGAAAATATTTTCACCACTTTCTACAAGACATCAAAATAAAAAAAATTAGAAAAATATGATTTGCTTTTGAATATACATACTCTCAAAAACCCTCAAATACTCGTGCTAGATCCATACATTCCTGATTACCAACCACATCTTTTTTTGACATACAAAATCAAGTAAATTTGTACAATTTTGACAACTTGACCGTTTTTGGTTGTTGGCTCAGATCACTCACTCTGAGGCACTGAAATCGCTGGGCCTTTGGGATCATCAAAGCGGTCCATGGTGCGAACCTGCATGATCATGTGCAGACCGTAGGTAAGAATGAACACCATGAGCAGAGAGGTCAGCAGGCCCATCCAAATCCCTGGAGTGAAAAATCCAGCACAATCGCTGGCATACGAGAAGTCTTCACCAGTAACGTTGAAGCCTTGGATCTGTGGGAAACATGGTACATCAGCTGCAGTATGTGGAGTTTTTGTGGTATACTGTATATGGGTTTTGTAAATGAAGCTGAATCGTTTAACACTAACAGTTCAAAACAGCGCACTGTAATAGCACCTGAAAATCAGTGAAGGACAGCGTCCATTGGTTAGCGTTGTCCGTAGCACTGCGAGGCACCAGCAGGGGGCTCTGAATGCTGCTTACGCTCTGGCAATGGAAAGAATACTCTGCAGGAGAGTAGATCCCGCCACTGGCGTTAAAGATAGCCCTCTGCCCGTCATACTCCAGCACCACCTGCTCCATCACCGACCAGTTGCGAGCAGATACAGGAAAGAAGATCTTGCGCATAGAGAAGCTTTGGCGAAGTATCACAAATTAGGGGTGTGACAATATACTGTTACAATACATTATAATATATTGTTACAATACTTCACAATACAAAAATACAACAATATATAACATGCATACACCATTGGCCAAAGGTTTTAAATAATTAAATTTTTTTTTTTAAAAGATAAACAGAATTATGAATATTTCTATTATGGTGTCACTAATGGCCTGTACATGGGGGGCCAGTGTTTAAAGGGGGGTGGGGGGTACAATGCCGTTTCATGCATTCAGAGTTGTTTACACTGTTAAAGAGTTGGATTCTCATGCTAAGCATGGACAAAGTTTCAAAAAACCATTTGTACGTATGACAGCATATTTCTTTGCCAAAAATCGTACTTCCAGGTTCGTACAAGTTGCAGAGAGTTTTTTATTTATTTATAAAAAAAATTCAAGGAACAATAACACACAATATGTTATCAAGAAAACAACATTAAAATAAGAAAAGAAAAAGATAGAAGGACAAATTACAACAAACAAAAAACAGTTGCCAGGGGGAGGAAAGAAACTTCAAAACAAAGATACAAGATATACATACATACTTGTACGTATATATAAAATCAAATAAATATATTGTAAAGTTCACAAACTTTCAAAGTTCTTACAGCTTTCTTATTCACAGAGTCTCTGATACTGTCAATATATATAAATATTTCAGTCAACAAAACCATAAAATTTGTTTTTTTATTGGTAAATTTACACTTCAATGATGAAGTGTATTTAACTGAAAAATGAGTGTTTACTATTGTCATTTTGCATTATTGACACTATTTTCCTAATTAATGCTGTTCAGTTGCTTTGTCACAATCTGTATTGTTAAAAGCGCTATATAAATAAAGGTGACTTGACTTGACTAGACTTATGAATGTGAAATTTGGTCAATAGAATAAGTAAATTAATTAAGTTAAAGTACTGTTCCTCTTGGTCAGGATAGTCAGTAAAGCCAAAGAGTACATTTTCCCATAGGAGTGAAGAAGATCTTAAACTCTGAATATTTTCGCTAGTAAATTTTTGGACCTTACACCATAGTGTAACCGAGTATGTACAGTACCAAAATAAGTGCTAGGCAGTTTCCTCATACTCATTACAAAAAATACAATTTACATTTATTCTTTTTTTAAATTTTTGTAAATAATGATTTGCTGGATAAAATCTATGAATACGCTTATAAGGAACTTCTTTAATCTTATTTCTAAGATGATATTTCTGTGGTAACAACCACACTTTTCTCCAGCAAATCAATTTTTCGTTCAATGTTTCTATTATTCCAGATGAAATAGTGATGCAGAGAAAAACTATGCTTATATATTAATGACCAAGATAGGAGCACTTGTTTGTGGAAGGCAGATAACTTAGCTGGAATTGTATCTTATAATCACACATCAAAACAAAACTAAGACCACCAATATTTGAAAAAATATAATGAGGGATATAATTCCAGACAGAAGTGGAGTTTTTTAAGTGATGCTTAATCCAATTAATTTTAAAGGTGTGGTTCATAGTGGTGAAATCTAAGAAATTAAGGCCACCGTTCTCATATGTACTCACAATCACAGTCTTTTTAACATAGTGTGTTCGATTTCTCCATAGGAAATCAAATAGCATCTTATCAATATTTTTACTGTATGGTTATCAAGATACAAAGATAAGGAGGCATATGTCAGTCGGGCTATAACTTCAGCCTTCGTAAGAGATCTCTCTGAAGAAAGAAGTAGAATTTTCTTTTAGTTTGATCAATTATGGGGTTAAAATTGAGAGCTGGTCTTTAACAATAATGATTCTTAAGTATGTAATCTTTTACAGGAATGTTACAAATATATATTAAATCACAGTCTTTAACAGCCATTAGTTCACACTTACTAATATTGAGATAGAGACCAGAGGCACTAGAAAACGTATTAATAAGATTAACTGCAATTGGAATTTGGCCACTATTTTAAAAAAAAGGGGTTGTATCATCGGCTAACTGACTTATAATAATTTCTCTATTTGCAATTGAGACTCCCTTAAGAATACTTTTTTTTAACATGCACAGATAATAATTGGGTTACAAGCAGGAAAAGATGTGGAGAGAAAGGACAACCCTGTCTAATACCTCTTTTTAAATCAAATCCAGAGGTAGTTCCATGTTTGAGTTTGATTGAGCAATTTGCATTATTACACAGGGTTTCAACTGCTGCACAAAAAAAATCACCAAACCCAAAAACCTTTAAAGAAGAAAATAAAAAATTATGTTCCACAGTGTCAAAAGCTTTACGAAAATCTAAGAATAAAATAAAACTATTTTCATCAATTAAATATGAATAATATAATATATCTAAAATCAACCTTATATTATTCGAAATATGCCTGTTTTTCATAAAGCCTGACTGAGTTTCATCTATAATATATTCTAATACATTCTTAATTATTTTAGCAAATATAGAGGCAATTAATTTATAATCATTATTCAAAAGACTAATTGGCCGCCAATTATCAATAATAGTCAAATCTTTTTTAGGCTTAGGAATAAGGGTAATTAACCCCTGAGTCATGGTAGATGGGAGGTTGGACTTAGAAAGAAACTTTCTGAAAAAACTAAAAGAAGAAAAGGGGTTAGCTGCTCATCAAATAACTTATAAAATTCTGAGGTAAGACCGTCAGTTCCGGGAGACTTATTATTTTTTAAGTTATGAATTGAATTGGTTATTTCTTCTAAATTAATAGGTTGGTCACACATAGCTTTATCTAAATTATTTATTTTTTTAATCTCTCCCAGTGAATTTAAGAAATCATTTGAGGCGTTAGCATCATACTGTGACGCATATAGTTTACAGTAAAAGGTGGAGCAAAACTCTGAAATCTCTTTAGGGTCCTTTGATGTTTTATCATTAATTTTTAACTGATGAATAGTATTTAATGTAGCCTGATTTTTTTCTAGTCTAAAGAAGTAGGAGGTATTCTGTTCACCTTCCTCCAACCATCTTTTCCTAGACCTTATAAAGGCTCCTTCAGCCTTTTTCTTATAGATGTTGTCTAATTTGTTTTGTAATTCTGCCATATTTGTTTGATCTATATCTGAAAAATTATTAGACCCTTTGTTTAGGAGTGAGGTAATACCAAATATAATTTTATCTTCCTGTTCTTTATTAACTTTAGCAAGATAACTGCCAACATGTCTTAAATTTTTAGAAGCCTCAAGAAGTTCCCAATTAGTGCAATATAATTTTTCTGTATTAGCCTTTTAAAAAAAATATGTAATGAGGCGTGTAAAACTCTATTTTTACTGATTCAATTTTCAGTAAAGAATTATTAAGTTTCCAATAAGAAGATTTTGCTGGACTATAATAAGTGGATATCTGCATATTGAGAAAAATTGCTTTGTGGTCAGTAAGAGGGGTTGGAAATACGTCAACAGAAATATTGTGTAAATCAACATTCCTAGATGTAAGCCAAAAATCTATTCTTGATTGCCTGGAGAAATCATTATTACACCAAGTATATGTTTTTTCATTTGGATATTTTTTGCCTCCAGCTGTCTATTAAGTCATATTTCCCCATAAAGGTTTTTAATAGCAAATTACATGGAGTTTTCTTTGGTGGCATACAATCTAGCATATTATCTGGAGCAATGTTAAAGTCTCCTCCCATACAAATTATACCAGACCGTTATTTTTTTAGGCAAAAGACAATTTAGTCTTCAATCACTTCAAACAGAGCCCTGTTCTCATTTGAAGAATTGTAACCATACATCTTAATCAAAAAAAAGAAAATATTATTAGTGTAAAGAACCAAAAAAATAAAATGCCTGCAAGGGTCACAATAATGATGTAAAACATCACCAGCAAGCTTAACAAGTTGCAGAGAGTTCTTTTTCGATCGTGGCTCTTTATGACGTAGACCAGGGTGGAACTCCTTATATGGGCATTTCTCGCGCACACGCATGGACCAGATTGTGATGTTTTTGTGAGCTAGATCGCACCCATCAACGCGCTTCATCCGGCGGCAGCGCTGCACGGGACTTGCTCGGGAATAATGTCTCCAATCCGAAGACTGTGTTTTTGGTTGTGAGGGAAAGATAACTTTGTTCAGCTTCCTAAAGAACCCAGCGTTATGTAAACAGTGGATGAAGTTTGTTTTTCTGGGGCAGCAACAGAGTTTCACAAGTGTGTTTGTTGACGAACGTTTTGTAAACAAGGCTCAGTTCGACGCTGGATTTGCACATCGTTTGATACTGAAAGATGGAGCGGTCCCAGCTATAAAAGATCCCGGTCATGGTTCAGAACTGCAGATGGTAAGTGAAACGGCATCAAATGTCTGTTTTGTTGGCATTTGGCGCCCAAGTGCTCGTCACTCTTTAGGGCTTTTTCCGGAGAGAATCATAAAGCTTTATCTTTCTTTTATAAATATGATAAAACTAAAGACTTTTTGGAGATATGAAGGATGCAGTACTACTCTATAGGTACTCAAGATTAACATGAGATTGGGTGAAACTGTGTGTGTTGTGCCCCCTTTAATAAAAAACAACAACAACAACAACGTACCATCTGTTCTAAGTATTGCGAGAGTATTGTGTCGTGAGATCAGTATTGTGTATTGATCTTGTTCAGCTTCCTAAAGAACCCAGCGTTATGTAAACAGTGGATGAAGTTTGTTTTTCTGGGGCAGCAACAGAGTTTCACAAGTGTGTTTGTTGACGAACGTTTTGTAAACAAGGCTCAGTTCGACGCTGGATTTGCACATCGTTTGATACTGAAAGATGGAGCGGTCCCAGCTATAAAAGATCCCGGTCATGGTTCAGAACTGCAGATGGTAAGTGAAACGGCATCAAATGTCTGTTTTGTTGGCATTTGGCGCCCAAGTGCTCGTCACTCTTTAGGGCTTTTTCCGGAGAGAATCATAAAGCTTTATCTTTCTTTTATAAATATGATAAAACTAAAGACTTTTTGGAGATATGAAGGATGCAGTACTACTCTATAGGTACTCAAGATTAACATGAGATTGGGTGAAACTGTGTGTGTTGTGCCCCCTTTAATAAAAAACAACAACAACAACAACGTACCATCTGTTCTAAGTATTGCGAGAGTATTGTGTCGTGAGATCAGTATTGTGTATTGATCTGAATCGTGACATGAGTGTAGTGTTACATCCCTATTAAAAATGCATGTAAAATTCTGCTGTTGTTGTTGTTGTGTAAAGTGCTACCTGAATGATGTATTTCGAGCGTTCACTTGAAAATATTACAATATATTCTGTATATTGTACAAATAATATTTGTACAATATACAAATATTATTTATTTGTAAATACAATATAACTAAATTAAACATATATTTACATAAAACATAAAAAATATAATAACACGTCTGACAGATGTGACTATTTCTATAATTAGTCAAATTATTTTTTCAAAAAAATAAACAAAATTTTATTTAAAGAGACAATTCACACAAAAATTTAAATTTGACATTTTATCACCATTTTACCTTATGTTATTCCATAAAGTATGTTGGTAACCATAAAAGTGTGGGTAACACAGCAAGTTATCGGCTTATTATTAATATGTTGACATGTTTATTCTGTTATATGGTCTAAAATGGTCTACAGAAATTGCAGGATTAAACTGTACTTGCACTTGATTAGGGACTGTACCGTTCCTGAGCTTATTTTACTGGCTAATACAGTGAGAGATTGTTGACTCTGAATTCTCTTTCCACAAATAAAGCACCTGTAGCCAACCAGACAGAAGGTAGAAAGATGAATTTGGTCTGCGCTCAGTTGCTCTTTGCTGCCACCTTGTGGACACTGCCGTGTACGACAGCAGCAGAGACGGCGAGCAGCGCGGCAGAAGTGCTTCATCTGATGAGTGAGGTTTCCCTGGAGGCCGGACTGAGGAACAGCAGCGCGGCTCGAGCGCGGCGGAAACGCTTCATCTCTAGGAAAGATATATTAAGGCAATTTTGGACTATCACAACCGCGTGCGTTCACAGGTCTTCCCACCCGCAGCAAACATGGAATATATGGTAGGACATTTTTTAATAGCTTTAGCCTACTATTTTTTTTTACATTACTAATGTTTTAAGGTTGTCAAATATATAACATGAAATATTTTTTTTTCTAAATGTAACATTTCAGAACAATCTGGTCGCTCTTTTCCATGCAATGACAATGCAAGGTGACTGAAAACGTCTAGCTCCAACAAGGATTGAAATTCACCATAAAAGTGGCCTGTATGATTTTAAAAACCGCTTCTTCTTACATTAGGTGATCTCAAATTTATATTATAGGCCTAACTTTAAAAATCTTCACCTCAAGTGAACTTGTTAAGGGCAAGCGAATCCTTTAGTTGAACTCGAGTCTGATTTTTGAACGAATCGTTCAGATCAGTTTTATGAATTGAATCAACTATTTCGTTTAAATATCTGATTCAAAAGAATCGTTGCTCACGATTCAGATCGCAAGGGCTTAAGTAAAGCTTTGACATGTTAAATTTCTGTTCCTCATAAAATCCATGTTGTATGGCTCCACAAGTCGTACAGAAAAATCTAGTTCGTGTGGACAATTTATGATGATTTTTCTTCCTTTTTGTTGCTTGACATCTTCATTTCTTATTGTCATTGCATGGGTCTTTTTTGGGGTGAACTATTTTTTTTTAGCATTTGTTTACCTCACTCTCCTTTGTGAGGTGTAGGATGAGAGACTGGGCCGCTCAGTGCAAATGGGATCATGGACCGTCTCATGATTTGCGACACATTGAACAGAACCTGTCCATCATCTCTGGAAGGTCCAGACCCTTACAACAACAACATAGTGTGACGTCACGTGACATGTGGCCAAGTATGTGACCCATACTAGGAATCAGTGCTCTGCATTTAATCCATCCAAAGTGCGCACACACACACCATGAACACACACCCGGAGCAGTGGGCAGCCGTTTTTGCTGTGGCAGGGAGCAGTTGGGGGTTTAGTAACTCAGTCGTACATTCACTCCCCCCACCAACAATCGACTCAAGACTCGAACCCACAACCTTTGGGTTACGAGTCCAACTCGTTAACCATTAGGCCACGACTTCCCCATCCATATACAGTCATGGTATCGGCATGAATTAATATCTGAAAACCATGTCAGTTCTGAATCATATCTACACTGTCTACATATTCTGACTATGATTTTCTAAATATTACTTTCATTTTGCAGAAACGTGACATGTGGCCAAGTATGTGACCCATACTAGGAATCAGTGCTCTGCATTTAATCCATCCAAAGTGCGCACACACACACCATGAACACACACCCGGAGCAGTGGGCAGCCGTTTTTGCTGTGGCAGGGAGCAGTTGGGGGTTTAGTAACTCAGTCGTACATTCACTCCCCCCACCAACAATCGACTCGAGACTCGAACCCACAACCTTTGGGTTACGAGTCCAACTCGTTAACCATTAGGCCACGACTTCCCCATCCATATACAGTCATGGTATCGGCATGAATTAATATCTGAAAACCATGTCAGTTCTGAATCATATCTACACTGTCTACATATTCTGACTATGATTTTCTAAATATTACTTTCATTTTGCAGACACAGATCAATCATTGACCTAGTAAGGTCCTGGTATGATGAAAGACACTATTTCTCCTACCCCAATAGATGCAGTGGCTCTGTCTGCACACACTACACTCAGGTGGGTCTCCAATATATATATTCAGTGGTTTCTAAGTTACTATCTTTTTGAAATGTCTATTAAACTCATGTCACACAGGAGACATGACTGCAGTGTAAACACATTTGTCCTCATAAAAACTGATCTTTTATTTACATTTTCTCTTATAACACAGACAGACTGTTGCCAATGCCTTTCCAGCAGGCACATAGCCAATAAAGTTATAAATAAATAAATACACTCAACAACAAAAAAAAAATCATTTATAAATTTCAAAAATATATTAGAGGAAATTCATTTTAAAATGTGTTTGTGAGCAGCTGGTCAAGGATCAGATTGAGAACCAGAATGAAACCATCTTTTATCAGCTCATTAATGTGTTCAATCCATCTAAAAGAGACGGATCTGCTGTAAACCACAGATAAAAGGCTTTTAAAGCCATAAACGAAGCACAGGACCACTGTCTCCAATCTAATGTATAGGGAATACTTTGGTAATTGAAATCATTCATCTGAATAAGAAAAAAATATAACTTTTTTTTATATTTTTAATAGGGCATCAATCAAAGTGTTGGCTTCTGAATATGTACGTTCAAGTTTGGGGTCAGTGAGATTTTTTTAATTAAATACTTTCATTTATCAAAGACCTATTAATTTGATCAAAACTGACAATAAATGCTGTTCTTTTGAATGTTCTATTCATCAGAGAATAACAGGTTCCACAAAAAAAAAAGATAATATTTTTTATTTTACTTCACCAAATCAGCATATTAGATTGATTTGAAGGACAAATGAAGAATAATGTGACAATGAAGACTGGAATAACGGCTGCTGAAAATTCAGCTTTGCCATTACAAATTACATTTTAAATATATTAAAAAGGGAACAGTTATTTGAAATTGTAATGTTTTGTTTTTTAACTGACAGTAATGCATATAAATATTATAAGGCAAATGGACACATAGGTAATCTCTGTACCAGTGTGACAAATATAGGAAAAATCTAAAGTTTCAAAACACCGACTTTCCCACAAAGCTATTTAAAAGTGAAAGCAACAGGAGACTTGTGTAATGCTACACTTCTGTCAGAAGGAATCACTCTATATTCATGGGAAAAGCTGTTGAAACTAACATAGTATCTGTTAAGAAAAAGTGCAGCATATGGCCCCATACAGTATGTATGTCTATACTCAAGCTGTTTAAGATTGAAATTGGATGGCGCTGGTCTAATGTTTAAGAATCTAAGCTTCTAACATAAAAGTAAAGATGAAACAGTTACAGTTAACCCCCTTCAGTCTGTTTAAAGACAAATAATTAGTAGCGGAAATGAAAGCTGATATGAAGCATGCTGTCAAACAGTACATTTGGATTTATGTCTTATCAAAGTAATGGGAATCGGACAAATCAGAATAGCTAAATGAGTCTGTGTAAACCCTCCACTCCTGTCTTTTCTCACACCCTTCCATCTCCTCGTGCCTGACTAAACAAAACTCGCCCTACCCTAATGATTCATTCCTGAATATGGCATGAGTTTAAAAAGATGCAGACTTTGAGAAACTGAGAAAAATTATAACAAACTGTCTATTTGAGTTTCTATCATCCTGTTGCCATAGCTACAGCTGTCATATGGATTGGTCTCTATACAAGCCTGGTTACTGTTTAACCTCTCCACCCACATTTGCCCAGATTAGGAAAATCAATAAGATAACAGGAGTACCGGCCTTACCTTGCGCCAACAACACCTTCACCAGAAACAGAGGACTGCAAAACTTATATGTGTTAATTCTTCATCATCTTTCACTCTTAATAGAGAAAAATCAGTAAAACACAGTGGTGGGGAGCAGAAGAGACAACATGGTCAACGTGAACGCTCAGGTCAGCACCCATATGGATCCACCGTATGGTAAGTACTCAGTCTCTTTCGATTGCCTTCAGGAAAAACATGGTGGGTGCTTTGGTGATCGCAGTGGAACGTGTTGTTGAATGAGCTTGTTGTTTCTTGACATTTCATCCAGTATGGTAGCTATCATCGCCATTCATGGGAGCTTGTGATGCACGGCTGTAATTTGGGAGGTGTGGCATATCCACAATGACTGGTAAATAGGGCCTATTTGCAGGAGAAGATGAATAGTGTGGACAGAATGGCTGACGTTCCTCTTTTCTTGCTGGGATGGAATGACTCAAAGGACTCTGGACAGAGTGCTGGAAGAAAGCGAGAATTATAAAAGACCTCGAAAAAATAAAAGGCTTTAATCTTCAAACCAGATTAAGGATATAGTTTTAAGTGCAGCTAAAAATAGGCCCACAGCAAAACAATACATTATAAACATTATACAGCAAAACAATGTCACTTTATTTTTGTCCTTTTTGAATAAAAAATGATTTAGAAATAGTTATTTAAATCTAATGAGTAGAAGATTTTAATAATATACACTACTATTTAAAAGCTTGGGGTCAATATGATTTAAAAAAAAAAAGTCTCGTATGCTCACCAAGGCTGCATTTATTTGATATAAATACAGTTAAAACAGTAATATTGTGAATATTAATAACATTAATATTATTATTATAATAAAATAAAGATTTCTATTTTAATATATTTTAAAATGTAATTTATTCATGTAATGGCAACGCTGAATTTTCTCCAGTCTTCAGTGTCACATGATTCTTCAAAAATCATTTTGATTTGGTGCTCAAGAAACTCTGAAAACATTGTGCTGCCTAATATTTTTGTAGAAACTTTGTTTTCAGGATTTGAAATATTTGATAAATAGAATTTAAAAAACAGCATTTATTTGAAATAGAAATCTTTACGAGCATTATTAATATCTTTACTGTCACACTTGATAAATGTAATGTTTCCTTGCTGAATAAAAGTATTAATTTCTTTCAAAAATCTCATTGACAACAAACTTTTGAATGGTAGTGTATGTTACTAGTGCATATAGTGTATGCAATTATTAAAATATAAATTGCATTTTAGAATTGTAATCATTTAAATAATACTATGAAATGTAATTGTGCATTCGAATTTGATATATTTACCCTTTAATGGTAGATGCACAATGCTTCGCAAACAACAGCATCCCTCAACTTTAGCATCCCTCTGTGCCATATAAACTATTATAATGCTGGTTCTTAGATGCTTCAGTCAATTTCTTGTTGACCAGACACTGTAGGTTTTGCTCATATGAAATATAATATCTAACAATCAGTCATTAAGTGAGCATCTCTTAGTATCTTCTAATACACTTTGTCAAGTTCAGAGTTCAGTGTTTTTATTAATGGCCACACATTTGTCTTAGTAGAGCTCTAGCCTATACTGAAACATTTACATTATTGTTGCATTTTCCTGGCAACTATGAATAAGCTGCTTTGTGGTTCAGATAATTTCAGAGCTGCTGTAATGTGTTTTTCGTGAACACAGAGAATGCACAAAGCAGTGCTGTAGAAAATCCTAGTGTGAAATGCTGCTGACACAACATCATGTAGAAGGAGGCTTAAACATATTAGCATACATTAACATTAGCTAACACAATACATAACATGAACTAAACATGAACAAGAATTTGACAGCATTTATTAAACTAGTTTAATGCTAATTTCCACATACATACAAATGCATTTTTAATAGTAAAACTGATATATATTTGCAAGATTTAAAGCATTATGAACTAGTATGAGCAATGAACAATAGTGTATTTATATATTAAAGGAATAGTTCACCCAAAAATGAAAATTTGCTGAAAATGTACTCACCCCCAGGCCATACAAAATGTAGATGAGTTTGTTTCTCCAACAGAACAGATTTGGAGAAATTTAGCATTACATCACTTGCTCACCAGTGGATCTTCTTCAGTGAATGGGTGCCGTCAGAATGAGAGTCCAAACAGCTGATAAAAACATCACAATAATCCACAAGTAATCCACACAACTCCAGTCCATCAATTAATGTTAAAATATGAGTCCTCTGTCCTGCTTTCTTCAGTGAAAAAGTCACCTCATCTGAAGAATTTTTTTATATTTTGAATGAGCTTTCATTTTCATTTTTGTGGAAGTTTTAGTAATTTTATATCTTGTTATTTTAATGTTTTTAGATATTTATTTACTTTTATTTCTATTTAGCCTTAATTTGATTTTGTTTTTCAATTGATGAACTGAAGTCATGTGGATTATTGTGATTTTCAGCTATACATTTTTGGGTGAACTACTCCTTAAACATTAAGCAAGATAAATTCAGTAAAAATTTTAATTTTCCATGCCACCTAAATAGTTCTTCAACCTTCATTGCCTATTCATATAAATATGATTACAAACATGAATTATATATTTAATAAATTCTAATTTAATTAAAGCTTAAGTTACATTACAGTTGCATGAATCTTGCATATGAGGAGTGGCATGAAAGAACTGCTTGCCTGTTGCCACTTGCACAAATAGCTGACCTGCACATTTTGCAGGATCACGTCTAAAATTAAACTCAAGAAGTGCCGTTGAACACCTTTTGAGCGAGGAACTCTGTTTTCCCTAAAATGTTCAGTGACTTTATGGTGGAGGTCCAGCGGCTCCAGCTGTCAGCTCAGAGACTGTTCAAGGCCAGAACAAGCAGCCACCCGAGTCAACAAGCCACAACGGCACAAAGTGTTTGGAATGTTGCTAAAAGTAGAAACCCTACAAAGACTCTCTTCCATGTCTGGAAATGTTTGTCACTCCAGAAGCATTTCTTTCTCCTGATCACAGAACTCATCTCTGTTCAGTATGCAGCAGAGTTTCTAGAGGATTTCAAACCTGGAATTAAGCATCTGAATCCACATTTAAAGTGATAGTTCACCCAAAAATGAAAATTACCTCATGATTTTCACATCAGGTGTATATGACATTCTCCTTTCAGACGAATACAATCAGAGTTATATTAAACAATGTCCTGGCTCTTCCAAGCTTTATAATGGTAGTGAATGCGGGTCGAGATTTTGAACAGTGTTTTCAACATTGATAATAATAAGAAATGTGTTTTGAGCGTAGACTGCATAAAACGGTCTTGAGCAGCAAATCAGCATATCAGATTGATTTCTGAAGGATCATGTGACAGTGAAGACAGGAATAAATACTGGAATACATTTTTTAAATATATTAAAATAAATAACAGTTATTTTAAATTGTAATAATATTTTATAATTCTACTGTCTTTACTGTATTCTGGAATACAAAAAAATGCAGCTATGTTGAGCCTTAAAGGAGACTTGTTTCAAAAACATTTTAAAAATCTTACCAACCCCATACTTTTGAATGGTATCTACCAGACTGGCACCCGAACAAGTCTGCTAAAAAGCTATTTGGCTAATAGTACTCTCCAATAGTTCGGACAGCTTACTGTAAGTGATGCCTCAGTACAATTCTCTCCTCAGCACCAGAAAACTATTCAATTCAGAAGCATCTTTACTGACTAAACACTGGTGTCACACTCATCAAAATGTCAACTTAATGTTTCCTATCCATTTGAGGGAGAATCCAGGGGCCTCGGGAAATGGAAGTGCCAGATATGAATTATTCGCTCACTTGACACTTTTAGGCCTTGTGCTCAAGCCCCAATCAAATCTCATTGTGACAGGCATTAAGGGATTAGGTCGATATGTTGAGCCTTAAAGGAGACTTGTTTCAAAAACATTTTAAAAATCTTACCAACCCCATACTTTTGAATGGTATCTACCAGACTGGCACCCGAACAAGTCTGCTAAAAAGCTATTTGGCTAATAGTACTGCCAGTTGCCAGTTCTCAGGACCACAGACCAGTGCAGGATGTATGAAGGACATGGCACGGGCCACTTCAGCAGCATACCAGGTACAGGGACTGCAGATTCACTGCCTCTTTTAGCACAGTTGCGGCTGAAGGTCCATTAGGTAGATTATGAAAATTTGTTTACATCCTAATTAGAGTGGCGTTCACCAAAAATCTGTGTGACTTCTATTTGACAAGATAAAATATATAGACATGCAAAGGAGTTTACAAATAATACAGGCATAATTAGGGGCAGAAATTACAACTATTAGAACAATGAAGATGAGACATACTGGAGTATTATGAAACATTTTAAAGCTAAAAGTTGTTCAAATGTCCTCAAAGTGGTCATGTGCAGAATATTTGACTCGTTTACATCTACAGGTTTATGGTCAGAGTGTAAAACAAAGGTTTCGGTTTACTTCTTTATGTCACAATTGCTGTTATGGAAAACAGACTGTGTTTATTAAAATCACTGCTGACCTGATATTTTTGGGGGATTTCAATCGACAGTTAGTGAAGCCCATGTGGTTCTGCACAGTAAGGCCCAAGGCTGTGGGAACCTTGCAGATGTAATTGCAAGCTTTGTCCACATAGAGGAGCTGAGGAATATGGTAACTGTGCAAACTAAAAATGTTGGGACATCTCTCTCTCTCTCTCTCTCTCTCTCTCTCTCTCTCTATATATATATATATATATATAGAGAGAGAGAGCTGTAGATATTTAAAAAAAAAAACTACAAAAAAATTGACAAAACAGACAACAAAATTACTAAAACTTTAAAATTAAACCGGAAAATATAAAAATAAACACTATAATAGTAGATCAATGATACTAAAGTAACACAAAACAAATTCCTTATTTGATTAGTGACCTAGAAATTTTACCTCATTACATTTCTTTGTTCTTTATTTACATACAAACCAAGATTTTCAAATGTTCAGTCATTTCGAACCTACTCTATATGCCCATAATATCTGACTCTGAATGTATTGTCAAAAATGAAACTTTTTTTATGCTACGGTAATATGACAAGAAATTATTCAACAGTCTGATATCTGAGATTCTAAATGTGATGTATCAACACAGAAATGATTGCATCATCAAAG